GAGAGAGAGAGAGGCAGAGACACAGGCAGAGGGAGAAGCAGGCTCCATGCAGGGAGACTGATGTGGGACTCGATCCTGGGGCTCCAGGATCACGCTCTGGGCCAAAGGCAGGCACTAAACTGCTGAGCCACCCACGGATCCCAACAATTTTGTATCTTGATTGGTGGTGGTTACACAAATCTGCACATGTGGTAAAATTGCATAGAACTACACATACACACACACACACATACACACAAATAAGCGCATATAAAACCTGTGAAATCTGAACAATGTCTGTGGATTATACCAATATTCCTTTCTTGGTTTTAGTATTGTACTATAGTTATATGTTACCATTGGGGAATACCAGGTTAAGACTACACAAGACCTCTCTGTACTAATTTCACAACTTCTTGTCAATCTATAATTCTTTCTCTCTTCTCTCTTCTTTTTGTCTTTCTTTCTTCTTCTTTCTTTCTTTCTTTCTTTCTTCTTCTTTCTTTCTTTCTTTCTTTCTCTTTCTTTCTTCTCTTTCTTTCTTCTCTCTGTCTCTCTCTTTCTTTCTTCTTTTTTTTTTTGAGAGACAGAGAGAGAGAATCCCAAGAAGGCTCCACCCAGCGAAGAGCCCAACATGACCCTTGATCTCACAACCGTGAGGTCACACATGACCTGATCCAAAATTAAGAGTTGGATGCTTGGGGGATCCCTGGGTGGCGCAGCGGTTTAGCGCCTGCCTTTGGCCCAGGGTGCGATCCTGGAGACCCGGGATCGAATCCCACGTCGGGCTCCCGGTGCATGGAGCCTGCTTCTCCCTCTGCCTGTGTCTCTGCCTCTCTCTCTCTCTCTGTGTGACTATCATAAATAAATAAAAAAAAAAAAAAAAAAAAAAGAGTTGGATGCTTAACCAATGAGCCACCCAGGTGCCTCAATCCATAATTATTTCAAAAATTTTTTTCTTTTTTCTTATCAAATTTTGAATCATGATTAAAAAAGGCATCTCCTCTCCTAGGTTGTAAGAGTTCTCTCATAGTTCTTCTACAGTTCCATTTTGTAGGTGTTTTGAAATTTTTATCAGATTAGAACAGAAAGTACCTGTACATCCAACTACGTATACAACATCTCTTCTTAGAAGTTCCATACACGGGGATCCCTGGGTGGCTTGGTGGTTTGGTGCTTGCCTTTGGCCCAGGGTGTGATCCTGGGGTCCCTGCATCAAGTCCCACATCGGGCTTCCTGCATGAAGCCTGCTTCTCCCTCTGCCTGTGTCTCTGCCTCTTTCTCTCTGTGTCTTTAATGAATAAATAAAATCTTTTTTAAAAAATAGAAGTTTCTTACACTTCTCAAAAACTCACCTGAAATAAATGCAAATGCAAACGTTTTTGGGGCCCAATGGTCCCTAGCTCAGTGAATGGTCTCTCCTGTACATTCTTACACAGCCAGAGGTAGAGAATCATCCCTGAAAATCTCTCTTCTGGGGGGGCCTGGTGGTGCTTTCGGCTCAGGTCTTCATGATCTTAGAGTCTCAGGATAGAGATAGGCAACACATCAGACTCCCTGCTCAGCAGGGAGCCTGCTTCTCTCCCTCTTCCTCTGCCACTCTCCCTGCTTGTGCTCTCTTGCTCTCTTTGTCAAATAAATCAATAAAATCTTAAAAAAAGAAAAAGAAAACCTCTCTTCCTTGTGGTCTACCCACTCCACAGTCAATCTTCCAGTGAGTTCATTAATTTGGCTTCCTAAGGATCTCTTGGAAACTTCTACTTTTTACTCTTCTTCCACGGTCATAGTTAGGTAGCTATCAGTTCCTGTGGGATTGCTGCAAAACTAACTGGCTGCTGTGTCCATTGTGACCATCTCTTTTGTGTATTGGGTGAGGTTTTCAAAATGCAGATCTGGTAATATTACATACCCCCCCATTCCATCCTTCCCCATACAAAGGAGGGAGTTATTTATTTGAGCAGGCGGGGGGGCCGGGGGGGCTCAGGGAAGAGAAAGAGAGAGAAAGAGAAAGAGAATGAGAAGGGGTAGAGGGAGAGGGAGAAAGAGACTCCCTGAGATCATGACCCTGAGATTATGACATGAGCCGAAATCAAGAGTCAGTCACTTAATCGAATGAGCCACCCAGGCACCTCACAAGGGAGGCATTTAAAAGCATCTTTGATGATTTCTCATTGTGTTTGGTTGGAAAAAGACCAAAATCTTTATTTTTTTAAAAAAGATTTTATTTATTTATTCATGAGAGACACAGAGAGAGAGAGAGAGGCAGAGACACAGGCAGAGGGAGAAGCAGGCTCCACGCAGGGAGCCCGACGTGGGACTCGATCCGGTGACTCCATGATCATGGCCTGGGCCAAAGGCAGGTGCTCAACTGCTGAGCCACCCAGGCATCCCAAAGGACCAAAATCTTCAAATGGCTTTATGGCACTGCATGATTTGATTCTTGTCTGTCTCTATTGCTTTTGACAACACTTTCCCCTTTAGCCTAGCCAACATGGTTTTCTATTTCATTCTCCATCATCCCATGATCTCTCCTTGCAGAGGGCTTTGGCACATGCTATTTTTTCTCAAGAATGAGAGGTTTGTTTTAGTTAATTTCTTTGGCTTACTATTTCCTCAGAGTTGCTCTCCTTGAGTCCCAGATAAAATATAAGTTTCTCATATATTTGAGAATACATGCTCCCATAATACTATATTCCTTCTGTATTCAAATATATTCAAAGCAGTGCTCAATTTATACATTGATGTGTGATGATCTGCTTAGTATCTGTGCCCTCCCCTAAACAGCCTCATGAAACTATGACTGTGTCTCTTTTGGTTTATTATAATATCCTCATTGCTTAGCACAGTACCTGGCATACAGCAAGTATACATAAATACAGATATTTGTGTAATGACTGAATTAAGGACTGGGGTTCTAATGATATGTTTTTTATTAACCCAGGCTTGCAATTTACCAGCTGTGTTATGTTGGACAGATTAATTTCTCTGAACTGCAGTTTCTTCACAAATAAAGTGAGTACCTTAACCTGGGATTTTCAGAAAACAGAGCTTAAGACAGAGTCTTCTGTGCCACCGTTTTGTTAGGGAGTGTAACTCCCAAGAACAGGAGCAAGAAAGAGGGGGAGAGTGGAGTGAAGGGGGGAGAGAGACATATCAAGAATATGTTGTTGGGGGCGCCTGGGTGGCTCAGTTGGTTAAGCATCTGCCTTCAGCTCAGGTCATGATCTCAGGGTCCTGGGATTGAGCCTCACATCAGGCTCCCTGCTTGGTGGGGAGTCTGCTTCTCCCTCTCCACCTCCCCCCACCAGCTCATGCTTTCTCTCTCTTCAAATAAATAAAATCTTAAAAAAAAAAAAAAAAGAATATGTTGTTGAACGTGCTGCAGCTAAGTGCCACGGAGAAATCGCATAAAGGATCTCAAAAATCCATTTGAAGAGAGAAAGGGGAACTTTGCCAGCTTGAAGTGCTAACTCCTATGCACCTCCAGGTTCTTCTGCTTGGGCATGAAGTATGCTGACAGGCTTTGCTGCATAAGGTAGTTGGGGTTTATGGGAGCAGCATGAGTACCTCCTCTGCAGGACTCCGGTGGGGGCTACTGGAGAACATGCCTGCCACATATTCAGTAGTCAATAAATAAATAAATAGTCATTGTTATTAGGAATATATATTTTGGTTCCCCAAATATCATAACCTTATTTCCTTCCTTCTTTTTTCTTTTACTTTCTTTCCAATTAAGGTGATTTTGAAGTCTAGCTTGTGGAAAACAAAAACAGGGAAAAAAATGCTAGTAAAACTGAAAAAACAATGAAGTTGTGTTAAGTCTTAGTAATTTGAAGAGTGTGCATGACTAAACAGACCATGAGCATGCATTTTTGTGGACAAAACATGTGGCTCTTCATTATATTTATTACAGCATTGTTTGTAATAGCAAAGAATGGGAAATAACCTAAATGTCCATCCATAGGGAACTAAATAAAAGTATGTTAGGATAGCATACAATGCAGCTGAAACAAAGTATGAAGAAGCTGTTAAGTTTTTTAAAGATTTTATTTGAGAGAGAGAGAGAGAGAGGGAGGAGGCAGGAGAGAGAACACAGTGGGGGGTGGGGGGTGAGGGATGAGGAGAAGGAGGAGAAGCAGGAGAAGCAGGAGAAGCAGGCTCCCCACTGAGCAGGGAGTCAGATGCGGACCCCGATTCTGGGACTCCAGGATCACACCCTGAGCCAAAGGCAGAGGCTTAACAGACTGAGCCACCCAGGTGCTCTGAAGCTGTTAAGTATTGATGGAGAACATTTTTTCTAACATTAAGTGAAAAATAATGTGTATTATGATCTATTATTTGCATAAAAAAGGAAGGAGAATGTTTTTATAGTTGTTTGAATATACGTTCAAAAAAAATCTTAGAAGGATATCCAAGAAAGTGTTAGTAAAAGACATTTTACTACCAAAATGTGTTTATTTGGGAACACCAGAGAAATGCAATGCAGAACATGTAGGCTATGGAAAAACCATAGGCAAGTCCAGCAAACAAAAGAGAAAAATTTATGGAGAAGAGGGAAGTTGGGACGAGTTTTGTTTTTTTTTTTTCCTAAATATTTAATTTGAGAGAGAGGAGAAGGCAGAGGGGGAGGGGGAGAATCTCAAGCAGACTCTCCACTGAGCCTGACATATATGGTTCCATCCCATGACGCCAAGATCATGACCTGAGAGCTAAATCTGAGTCCCACACTCAAAGGACTAAGCCACCCAGGTGTTTTTTTAAGGCTACTAGAGAAAAGCAAGTCAGGGTGATGAAGGTTTCTTATTGGCTGAGTTGCAGAGGTAGTTGATTTGTTGAAGGAAATGCAATATACACCTTTTCCCTGTCCCCGCCTGTAATTGATAGTTTCCTTTTGTGGATTTTTCTGTTGGGGGTCTGTAATTGAGGTTAAGTAGGCTGGCTCCCCCTTGTAGCCTCCCCTTTCTAGCCCCTGATCTCTACTGTAGTGAGGTTTCCCTTTATTGATATTCATAACAATACTCTATTTTTTAAAAGTTCATTTATTTCATTTGAATCATCTCTACATCCCAGGTGGGGCTCAAACTCAAACGGCAAGATGAAGAGTCCCATGCTCTACGGACCAATCTAGCCTTGCAGCCCCGATTTTCATCACTATACGATTTGTTGTCACGTTTGTTTGTATAAGCACCCAAGTATTTTAATGCCTATTATTGCATACCAAATGACTCAAAACTCAGCAGCTAAAGACAACCAATACTTATTATCTCACAGTTTTTGTAGCTCAGAAGTTCTGGAATGACTTAGCGGGGGTGGTACTAACTAGTTCAGAATCTTTTCCGAGAGGGGCACCTGGGTGGCTCAGTGGTTGAGCATCTGCCTTTGGCTCAGATTATGATCCTGGGGTCCCGGGCATTGGGCTCCCCGCTGGGAGCCTGATTCTCCCTCTGCCTATGTCTCTGCCTCTTTCTCGGTGTCTCTCATGAATAAATAAATAAATTCTTTAAAAAAAAAAAGAATCTTTCATGAGATTGCAATCAGATGTGAAGTAAGGGTTTGAGTGGGGTTGGGAACCGGGTTTTCCAGATGCCTCACCTCTATTGCTCTTTCCCATTGGCCCTTTCCATAGCACTGCTTGACCGGCTATGATGTGGCATCTGGCCTCTCTCGGCCTCTCTCTCGGTGAATGAGGGGAGAATCTGAGAAGTAGAGACAGACAGAGGAGAGGGACAGGGAGAGGGAGCCGGAGCACAGGAAGCTGCAGACTTGTAGGGTCTAGTCTAAGTCACACACGGCCACACCTGCCACATTCTGCTCATCGGAGCAGAGTGGAGGTGTCTGGCCCACACCCAAGGGAAGGGGAGTTAGGCTTTCTCTTTTGAGAGGAGTACCAGAGAATTTGTTGAAGTATTTGAAACCACCAGAGGAGAAGAGGTGAACGACTGGGGTGAACAGGGGCAGGGCTGGAAGAGAGAGTTTCACTCTGTTTTTATACTCCTCCAACTATGCATTTGACTATCCTAAACACATTCATTACATTTCTTCCAAAAGGAAACATTTTAGGCTATTTGGGAAAGAATAGGGAGAGAAATTAAAGGGAAAAAAAAAAGAGTTGAACAGGTGAATGGGAGAAATTGACCCTTGCCGGGAAAGATAGGAAAGAGGGAGGGTCCCCTTTGGGCTCACCCCGCGCTCCTCCCGCCCCATACTTAGCATTTTCACTTTCCGGGATGTGGGGTGGTGGTGGTGTGCGCCGGAGTTTGGGATGATGGGTTTGCGGGGGGAGAGAACTCCGTAGCGAGAATGTCCGATGGGATGGTTTTGCTGCGGGCGTTTGTCCTTTATTACAACTCACGTCCTGTTACAACAATGTACTTGTGTCCGGATCGTTCAGTGGCCGAAGCCCGTGGTCCCCGTTGATTCGATGCCGTTTCTGGATGACTTACCAGGCGCACCCTTCCGGCCTCCACCCCAGGCTCGGCACCTAGGCCCCGGGGGCTGGCCCGGGCCGGCCCAACCGGGAAGCTCGCCGAGACGATCTCACCTGTAATAAGATGGGGGGGGGGGGAGGCGGGGCAGGTTCCATCTGCACAAGGACGTGGCACGAAACCCAACGGCTTTATGGTCTCCATAAAAAAGGTCGTTGAGGTCAAGTGTGCTGACGCGTTCGGCACGAACCGTGCCCCCCGCGCCTTCCGGGTCACTCGTCGGGAGGCCCCGGGCACGTTCTCGCGGGCGGCTCCGGGCTCGTTCTGCAGCTTCGGTGCTCGAGGAACCACGCGGCCGCCCGCGAGCCACGCACCGGCCGTCGCTCCTTCTGCGGGTCCCCGCGCGGGCGCGAACTCTCGGCCGCCAGCGACGTCCTTCCTGGGTCTCTCGGGGACCCGGGCCCCCGCCCTCCCCGGCCGCATCCGGGCCCCCACCCCGCGCCCCTCCCCTCGGGTCCCCGCCCCCTCGGGTCCCCGCCCCGCCGGGACCCCCCTCTCCCCGCCCCCCTCCCCCTCCCCTCGGGTCCCTGCCTTCCCAGCACCCCCGCCCCGCCCCCCTCCGGTCCCCCCACCCCCCCCGCCGGCCAACTCCGAGCATGGCGGCGTCTCGGGTGATGCGGCCACGGCGCGAGGCTGAGCGGGGTCCACCGTCCTTCGTGGGGGCCTCGCCGGCCTGATGCCGCGCCCCGATCCTCGAGGGGCGGAGGCGGAGGCGGCGGAAGGGAGGGCACGTCACGCGCCGGGGGCAGGGGCCGCGGGCCGGGCGGCCAGGGCGAGCGCCGGCGGAGACCGGAGGGCGCGGGAGCCGCGCGGAGCGGCGAGCCCCGCCCCCGCCCCCCGCTTCCGGCGCCCTCGGGCCCGCCCCGCGCCGGCGGTGCCACATCCTCCGGTGACGTCAGCTGGCGCCGCCATATTGGGAAGGCGCAGCCCCAGCCGCCGCCGCCGCCGCCGCCGCCCGGAGCCCGGAGCCCGGAGCCCGGAGCCCGGCTTCCCCCGGGCCGCGGCCGCACGAGCGGGGAGCGCTGTTCGCCTCGCCTCGCCTCGCCGGCCCGCCCGCCCGCCCGCCCGTCTCGCGCCGACCCGACTCCCCATGACTGCCCCCGGCCCCGCTGCCGACGGACGTCGCCCGGGCGCCGCGATCTAACACGGAAGCCCGGGCCGCGGGCCGCGGGGGGGGCGAGGAGGGAGGCCCGGCAGGTCCCGCGGCCCTCTCGGCGCGGCGCGGCGTCCCGGCGGGAGCCATGACCTCGCTGACCCAGCGCAGCTCGGGCCTGGTGCAGCGGCGCACCGAGGCCTCCCGCAGCGCCGCCGACAAGGAGCGGGTGGCGGGCGGCGGCGGCGGCGGCGGCGAGGACGACGCGCAGAGCCGCCGCGACGAGCAGGACGACGACGACAAGGGCGACTCCAAGGAGACCCGGCTGACCCTGATGGAGGAGGTGCTCCTGCTGGGCCTCAAGGACCGAGAGGTGCGGGGCGGGGGCGCGGCGGGGGCGCGGCGGCGGCGGCGGCGGCGGCGGGGGGGGGGGGCGAGCCGGGCGCCCGCAGGCCCTGCCCGCGCTCCTCCACAGTCTCCCCGGCGGTCTGCACCGCTTCCCCCCTTTTCCCGCCTGTTTAACCCGCGGAGCCCCCCCCCCCCGCGGAGGGCCTGCTGGGGTGCGACCCCTGGGACCCCCAGCACCCCGCGCTCCCGCGGGCCCTGCAGGCCTTCGGGCTTGGGAGGGCTCCGCGGCTCTGCTTTATTGGGGGGGGGGGACCAGAACCCACGCACACGCGCGCACACCACTTAACGCTGTGCGGTTGGGAATTTGGAGACACTTCAGTGAAATGCTAATGGAGGCGAAAGTCCTTTTGCACCTGATAAAAAAGTTAAAAGTCCCGACCAAATTCTCACGACGCCTCCCGGCAAAGGACTTCCCAGGTAGTAACTTTGCTTTGGGTAGAGATTATTTTCAGCGTCACTTTTGCATGTCTCCGGGACGCCGCGCCATCCCAAGGGGAGACTTCCTCTCCCTCCGAGCGCTGCAGACGCCGGCTGTGGGGCTGGACCGAAAGCTCTCGCAGCCCCAGGTCTAGGTTAAAGCTGCCAGGGGCGGTCTCGGTGGTGGGATTTCGAAAGGTCATTTCCAGCTCAGTGTCTTGCGAGGATTTTGCACACACGGAGAAGTGGGAGGAAACCTCCTAAGGTGGGATATCTGCATATTTCTCCTCCTAGGTTCTGTCGTTAAGGTTTTCCTAGGTTGGCTTCATCACATACCCTTTGATGTACGAAAGTGATTATTTTTAGAGACGTGCAGCTGATCAGCTGGATGAATGGATAGTCTGTAAGTCTCACATGGGGAGGTGGTTCTGGAAGCTCGTTTTATCCCAGCACAGAAACTGTACACTTTTTGAGAGTCAAATAAGGAAAACACAGAACTATCCCAAGTTTGTTTTGGTTTTTTTTAGAGATTTTATTGATTTGAGGGAGTGAGCGAGCTGAGAGCAGGAGCAGGGATGGAGGGAGAGGGAGAAGCAGAGAGCCTGATACGGGGATATGGGGCTGGATCCCAGGACCCCTGAGATTATGACCTGAGCCCAAGCAGGTCCTTCACTGGCTGAGCCACCCAGGTGTACCTTGTTTTTATTTTATTTTATTTTATTTTTTTTATTTTATTTTTTTTATTTATGATAGTCATACAGAGAGAGAGAGAGAGAGGCAGAGACATAGGCAGAGGGAGAAGCAGGCTCCATGCACTGGGAGCCCGACGTGGGATTCGATCCCGGGTCTCCAGGATCGCGCCCTGGGCCAAAGGCAGGCGCCAAACCGCTGCGCCACCCAGGGATCCCTTGTTTTGGTTTTTAATGAAGTTTTCCCAGCTCAGAAAGGTGGGCAAAAAATTTGATCTTTATAAAACAATTTAGTTTTATTTCACCAAGACTTTATATGGACTGTGGCCTCCTAGTATTTAGTGATTTAGTGAAAATAAATTTATTTTGAGGGGATCCCCGGGTGGCTCAGTGGTTGAGCGTCTGCTTTCGGCCCAGGGCCTGATCCGGGAGACCCGGGATTGAGTCCCACATCCGGCTCCCTGCATGGAGCCTGCTTCTCCCTCTCCCACTGCCTGTGTCTCTGCCTCTTTCTGTGTGTTTCTCATGAATAAATAAATAAAATCTTTAAATTTATTTTGATAGAAATGTCTAGAATATTTGCGACATCTAGGTTTCCCATTTGTAGGTTTTTTTTTTTTATTTGTAGGTTTTAAAAATGATCACTTGAAAAGACATCCCTTTGAGTGTGAAAGTGGCTCTCAGTAGGTTTCTTAATTACTGAGTTAGGATGGGAGCAGATTGTATGTGAAACTCTTTTTTGTTCATTACGAAAACAACCTACAGATCTTTCTTATATTCTGATAAACCCATCATAAAACGAGTATTTTAAGTTGAAAATGCATTTAGTACTAACCAACCAAACATAGTTTAGCTTAGCCAACCTTAAACATGCTCAGAACATGTTTTATGTTAGCCTACAGTTGAGCAGAATCATCTATCACAAAGCGTATTTTATAGTAAAGCGTTGAATAGCTCATGTAATTTATTGAATGTCGTATTGAGAGTGAAAAAACAGAATGGTTGTAAGTACATGCATTGGTTACCCTTGTGATCATGTGGCTATGCCTAGCAAATTGTATGCAGATCACTAGCCCAGGAAAAGATCAGAATTTGAAGTATTACTTTTGTACAGGCATAACGTTGAAAAATTAAGTTGGGGATGGTCTGTGGATAGAATGTCTTAGAAATGTGATCTTTAGGAAGTATTCAACTTGCCAGATTTTTAAGCTTCACAATTTAGAATCTTGGTAATAAACATTTTACTTTAAGTGCCGTTCCCCCCCACCCCCCCTTTTGGAACAAAAGTAACATTTTAGGAAATACCAAAAAAAGAAAAAAATGGAGATGGCAATCATCTATATTTCTGAGTGAACAGTTTTGGTTTATAGTTTTTGATAGTTTTCTGTGTGGATACGTCCTGTGTGTAAAATTAAGACTTAAAGCCGGAAAACAAAAACCCCAACTAAAACCAAAATTAGTTTTTGGATTTGAGTCACTCCAAGTGAGAAATTATGGTGAAAAAGTACCTTTGTTTCCCAGATATGTGTTACTGGAAAAGGTTAAGCTGAAGCATATTGACTTGCTATGTTTCTGTGGTTTTCATGAAGATAATCTAAAGAATTTGTTGAAGCTCACTGGTACTTAAAAAGGTAGACAATTTAGATTTCTTTGGTGGCAGGTAAATTGAAACCATGTGTTGTGCTTCTGTCAGGAGCCACTGTAGTTTGGCATCTCGTGGCTAAGGTCCAGACACCAGTCAGTTCTGACCATTTCTTGTGATTTCAACAATCACATAGAGAAACTTTTTATTTCCCCTTTTGCAGGCAAGCCCAGGGAATTGAAGTAGAGGTGGATGGGCTTGGGATTTGACATTGTTTTAGATTTAGGGTTTTACCTATATAACTTGTCCTCACATCTTTATAGTACTAATAACCAGACCTATAACCTTCTCCATTCATAAGTTTTGGGAGGTTCCCCCCCCCCCCCCCCCCCCGTGTCTTCAACTTGTATCATTCTATATAGGAGGTAAGGAATTACTCTAGGCGTTTATGCTTGTTAATAATTAAATTTATGGGGACACCTGGGTGGCTCAGCGGTTGAGCATCTGCCTTTAGCTCAGGGCGCGACCCCAGAGTCCTGGGATCGAATCCCACGTCGGGCTCCCTGCATGGAGCTGCGTCCTCCCTCTGCCTGTGTCTGCCTCTCTCTCAGTGTCTCATGAATAAATAAATAAAATCTGTAAAACAAAAACAAGCAAAAAATTTTAATTTATGTTTGGTATTAAGTTTCAAGCTTTAGGGACAATATGTAGGTTAATTGACTGCTTTAGCTTACATCCATCTTTGTTATCTTTGGGTACTCTAAAGATATTAAAACTTAAAACCTAAAATTTAAGGTTAGGTTAGGTCATTAATGATGGATATATTACCGGGGTGTGTGTGTGAGAACTATTATATTTGAAATCCAAACAACTGAGAAAAAGTTAAGAAATCGTAAAATGGTGAAAATTGGTTTTACTTTTTTTTTTTTTTTTTTAAGATTTTATTTACTCATGAGAGGGAGAGATGGAGAGATGGCACACAAGGAGAGCGCAAGCAGGGGGAGGGGCAGAAGCAGGGAGTCTGGCTTGGGGTTTGATCCCAGGACCTTGGGTTCACAACCTTAGCCAAAGGTAGACACTTAATACGCTGAGCCACTCAGGCACCCTTTATTTTGACTTCTAAAAAAAGCTGAGATATTATGGCTTTTTAAAAAATTTTTGTTCAAAAATGTATACAGGAAAGTGCATGTAAGTGTGATGAATTTTCACAAACTGAACACAACTGTTAAACAGC